AAATTTTTTTCTAATTCTTCGTAATAATACTGAAGAAGTTCGTCAAAATGTTGCCGTCGATCTGCAGGACTGAGTGCAGATGCAAAGTAGCGTAGCAGGTCATCTGCTGCACAACCTTTGTGGATTACCTGAAATAGAAACTGATAAAATAATAACCATAAAAGATCTTGTTGAACGAAACTTCTGCGTAATCAAAAAAAACCGCGAAATTAAAATTCAATTTTTTCCAACTTTTTATGTTCTACGATGTTCGGGCTGTTCAAGAACAGAAAAAGACTTAAGTTTTCTGGTGAAAATAAATTGCAAAAAATTTAATCCAGAACCGATTTTGAGTTTCTTATCTTTTAAAACCTGTCCTAGCTTTAAAGCCAAATTTTTTATTGCTAAAAATGATTACAGAGACATTATACTTTTACAAACCTGCCAGTCAATAATACCAGCAAGTTTTCTACTGTTGCCTTCATTTTTCCACATTATATTTGAAGTCCAAAGATCGCCATGGGCAAGAATTGAAGGTAAGCCTGGAAATTACATCTTTTATATCGCTGATTGGAACTGAAAAAAAATAGTTTTTGGTGATATACCGCATTCTTCATTTAGAGTTGAGAGAAACTGTGCATCCAGGATATTATTGAGTTCTTTAGACAACTCTTTGCAGGCCGTTTTAACTCTAGCATTCGGTGATTTTTTAAACACCTCTATATTGCTTGTAAGCATCTGTTTAAAAAGCATTTTTGTATAGAGTGTTGCTGTTATATAACCAGTTTGCAAAATGATGATCGCAAACTTACCTTAGTGAATGAGTATAATATATTTCAGTGTTTAGTCTGTTTTTTTTTTCTTGTTGTTATTTTCTGATTTCGATTTTTCCTGATAGTGTAGTTTTTAGTTACACAAAAACATTAGTATTTCTAGAAAAATTGAAAAAGTCAAGAGAATTTTTAAAACTGAGGACAGTAAAAGCACTTCTCTGAAGTCATCCATCTCTTTCATAAGATTGTGGAAAGCTAATTTTCCTAAGCCGACTAATTCGGGGTATTGTAGGGAATAACTGTGAAGAACTGCCATTTGTTTTACAACCTAAAAGGAATATCACTTACAGTTCTATCAGTCTGACCGTATGTCTTCCAGAAACGCTACACTTCAAAAATTTATTTAGAAAAATGATTAGTTAAAACCGCTAGTTGGCAGCAATAGCATACTTGTTTAGCTTCTTCAATTGTCGTTCTTTGGTACTGATGAATAACAAATGAATCTTCCCCTAAATCCTCCATTAGAAAGTAACCTTGTTTGCAGTTTTCAGAGTACGGTTCGGCAAAATAAACCTTCGGAATTTTTATTTGAAAATTATATTGTTTAGCTGCATTGTAAAAGTCAACTTCTGAATTGTGTGCCTGAAAGAAAAGAACCTAATTTTTTGTCGTTTTAAAAGAGAAGAGATAATTTCACGTAGAAATTCTGCAAAAATTGCTTGTTAACCATAAAAAATACTGTAAGAACAAAAATTTTAACAACGATGAAGGAAAAGTTTGTATATAAATATATATATCTTACCCGAGTAAGGGATTCTTCCATTCTGTCTAGCATAGATGACGCGTCTTCAAAATTGGCACCTTTTTCGATGTACCGTTTATCGTTCATTACTTGACCTGCAGTTGCCAGACTAGATATTTTTGCAATAAAAGTTTTAGGCAAATTCTTGTTTTCCGGTTTCCAGTCAGGCCAAATTCTAGCTACCACAGACATAAATCCCTAAATATAATTTAATAAAAAGTTTAATTAAAAAAAAAAAAAATTTAATAAAAAATTTTTGAGAGTTTCAGTCACAGAGTTCTAGATAGCGTGAGAGTTTTAAAAATTTCACTCAATTACGATGTTTTAATTTGGTTCGAGACAATAAACGTTTCTTTTTTTTTCTTTTCTGAGGTGAGATGTTAAGTAGCAGATAGCGTCTCCTCTTCAGCACACACACGCTACTGCATCTTTTGAATAATAAACATGTTGTTTTTTTTTTTCCTGCACTAAATACTTTTCCGAATAATTTTGAATTATTTCTCGGGCAACTTCTGTAACACTGCAACGCTTATATTAGTAAAGTAATTTTTCTTTAAGTATCTCTTTTGAATTTGCGCTATAAGAAGAACAGAATTTAGAATTAGTGGTTTACTTGTGAAAGACCTTCAACTCAAGGAAGCCCTGACAAGCGACAGCATCAAA